ATCCCTGAAAGGATTATGTCATCTCATCTCTCGCCATCTCTGAGAACACAACTTTTGCCTTAGGTATTATTTTACCTAAGACATAAAAGCACACACCTAATGTCATGTTGACATTCTTTACAACCCTGTGGTTTTTATGAATTGAACTTGTTGGGAAGTGACATTGGAAACCAGAGATAACTGGGCTTAAAAACAGCATGTATAGAAAGTAAGATCAAGGACCAGGACACAGAATGTGACAGCAGGGATCTGCTATGGCACTACTGATCCCACAGACATAGTCACCTGCATGAAGTTTTGGTGTCACCAATACTTCCTTATGTCAAAAGCAAACAAGAGTGTGTATACATTACAACTACACCTGGATTTGATCTTTGTGCCTCGGACAGTCAAGGGAAATGTGCCAGCATTTGTTTCCATCATTGGATGTGGGCAGGTCATGCTTAACCTCTGTGAGCCAAACCTAAGCAATCACCATGGCTTTGTTGTATTCAGCAGCTCTTGGAAAGATACCTTGGTGTTTGGAGCTGCTGCCAACCATTTTCAACATAAATTGAAAATTACGAGGCTTTGCCACTTCTCCCCATGTGTTAAAGAGTTGCAAAAAGCCACTCTGAGTTCACTTTCCTTTAAAAGTCCTTTTTTCCCCCTTCACATCAAGGCTGTCAATTCAAAAAAGGCTTGTTATAAATGGATTAATTTATGGCAAGATTGTTGATTGACAGGAAAAAGTTTGTTTTGTATGGATTTGACATCACAGCCATGCATAGCCAATTTTCCCACTAACAGCTTCTTTATGGAAGAATTCTTCCAGCCACATTGCATAAACAGCTGTTGGAAACACCTTTGCATCGATCATTTGTAATAGTTTATTAAAGTGGTACCTGGCAACATGTCTATATAGTTAAAGACTTGCTCATTACCAAACCCCATTTTTCAGGAGTTTATTACTCAAGCTTTTCAAATCATGTCAAACTTAAATCTCAAATGTGCACACTCACTCTAGGCATTGTTTCTTCCTTTAGTGAGGGTTCCAAAGCAGGGGCCTCATTTCTTCGAGTGACATGTGCCATGATTGATTATGCATCAGCTTTTTGAAAAAAAAAATCCTTTTTTTTTTGGTAATCATTTTTCCCTCTGAAAATAAGGTTTTTGAGTATTGGAAGCTTTTCTTCTCCAGATACAAATGTTTTCAAGAAAAGAGATGTCCTAATTATCATAAGGATGCCCTTCTGATTTTTCAGTTTATATTTTTATACTCCTGTACCAGATTTGGACTCATGTCTTAATCCTTTGGATGCCTGCCATTTTCTCTTTCCTGTTCTTTTTCTATTTCCCTTTCCTCACACAACAAAGCCCTCCTTGATTTGCCTTCCTTTTTGTCTTTGAATTGAATATAACTTTCCTTCCTTAAAGTCTGTACTATATGGCAGGTGAAAAGATGGACTATTGAGATTAGGGTTGGAATGCCAGCACTTTCACATGCTTTGTGACTTTAGGCAAGATATTTTTCCTAAGTCCCTGTTTGTTTTCTCACCTAAAAAAGTGGAGGCAATAAAAGTAACAATTTCCTAGGCTCATTTTCAGATCTAAATAAGCTGATACATGTAAAGGGCTTGGCATAGCACAAGAGTTTAACGACATAGTGGCTGCTGCCCTACAAATACAGGTCAAGGTAGGATTTGGAGATGACATTCATTTTTCTGCATGCTTGGATCTTGTCTAGCCTTCTTCTGAGGTCAAGGCATTTTTTTTTTTTTTTTACAAATATTGATATTTCTTAGCTGCTCCATGGGATACTGGCAGCAGCTTTTTTTGGCAGCTTCCTCAGCAATGATGCCTCTTGCCCCAAACTTGGTATTCACTGGAGCTTCCTCACAGGGGGTAGAGGAGGAAGGTGCATAATGAACTGTGATACTCCATTAGCCTGGATAAGCCCCAGAGCATATGAAGAGCTGAAGGAGCCAGCTGGCTCCCCAGTAAGCCCTGGTGCTGCCAAGACTCACTGATTGCTGACGAGGAAGCAACGAGGAAAGGCTGGTGCTCGGAGGAGTGAAGAGGGCATTTCCCCCACCAAGATTAGAAAGTGATTGGGTAAGGCAAATCATGAGGATCGAATGAGCTAACGAATGCCTTGAAATCCATCGAGAAAGATTCTATTAAAATCCATTGTATTAGTATGTCATTTCTAATCACCAGAGCAGTGGGTCTTTGAACAGGATGGGAGCAAACTTTTTTGTGGATAAGTTGCAGTCCTTGAACTGACTTCTAGATCATATCCACACATGGCATGCAAAACATTGTGCTAGACTTCCTCCTCCGAAATGATCAGACTTCCACAGCTGGATTCTGCAAAAGAAAAAGAAAAGCTGATTCCACAAATGCTTCTGGTAGGAAAAAACCCATGTAAAGTTTATTTCTTTTCTCTCCTTTTAAAAAAAGTTTATTAAGAATGAAAAGTCCTCTGTAGTCGGACTTTACTTGTTATTTTCCACAGATTTAGGAGAAATAGTCAAAGGCAAAGTAAGTAATGTTTTTCCAGCAAAAATGGAGTATTTTTCCTTCTGTCCTCACAAAAGTGTTGCTATGTGTGTCAGTTATGGAGGGTACATCACCCTCCTTTCTTCAGAAAATGTTCCTTTTGCTGCTGGTAAAAATAAAATTCTCCTCCTACTATACATGCAAATTCTCATGGAAATATGGTTTTGCTCCTGAAAAATATCAGAAAGTAAAAATTGAAAATGTCATGACATGTTTTCAAATCTACCAGAAATGCTCCTGTGAAGCAGCAGGGAGTTTTTGGAGTTACCATGAAAACCACATGCAGTATGGATGTGCAAAATTATGAGTTGTGCACACTATTGCTTTAGTATACGCACCTGAGAATTTTTTTTTCTTATTTGATTTTCATGAGAGTCAAACTTCAAACAAATAGAACTAATCAAACCAGACAGTTCTCATCCAATGCTTCAGTATAGGCAGGAACAACAGCTGAGGGAACTTATTTAAAAGTACTGGTAATTTATGAGCTCTGCTATGTTGATACTATTTGGTGATCTGCTCTCTTGCGATACCATTCTCCATAGTGACAAAAGGCAGAAAAATCAATGTATTTTGACATTATTCCAAAATGCACTCAGGGAATAGTAAATTTTTTGACGTGAGGCAGATAGAAAAGATTGGCATTTTTCAAAGACAGAAGTGTACCTTTATGATTCTGGTAACACCACCATCTTTGAACACGTTGGGAGGAAAATCATGGCTAATGAAAATACCCATCTATTTCATCTCATTTAGATTGGGGGGTGGTCCAATGCTTAAGCAATTGCTGATGGAATCCCCCAGTAAGAGGTCATCTCAAAGTTTTCTGCTGAATAAAATCACCACATTTGCAATTTGAGGACACATTCCATTTTCATGACTATTTGAAGATATCCCAAATGGCAGCACTGGAAGGTATTTGGACCAAGAATGATTGACAGTGTCTGTAAGCACTTATTACGTCAAGGCTTTAGTTCGTCGATTGATGGGAAATGATGTATAATAAATTAGAATGATCACACATCATTTCCCATCGATTGAAATGCCAAATCCTTGATGGAGTAATGAGTTATGGCCAATACCACTCACTGTCTTAGGAGGAGATTGATTGCATATCCTTTCATTGATGTGATCAAACAACACAAAATTCTAAATACACATCTAGCTCCCAAGTTTCACCATCATTCCAGTGCACAGAATAAAGTTAGTGTTGCCTTGGTGAGTACAATGCCATGTGGGTATTGGAGCACGAATATTCTTCATCATCTGATGCAGTGAGAGCCTCATTCCCCACAGAAATACAGATGCATCCTAAGTGCAGAGAGACTCAATGAAGCACCATTAGCCATCCTAGTTACAACAGAATTCATTTCCTTTATAGAACAAAAAAGGAAGGCTCCCAGGTCTCTTCACAAAAGCAAAGGAGGAATTTGACAGCAAGCTCAATGGGATGAATATTCAGTATGCTCATGTACCCAGTGGGTGGATATTTTTTGCTATTTCTCTTGTGTAACTTAGTATCATATGCTTTCTAAATCATTCCAATGGGTAAGACCAATTCATGTTCCTCTCTGGTAGGAAAAGCAGTTCCTTCTCATCTCATAATTAAATACCTAAAGTCATCAGCTGTGAAAAATTTTTGTTTATTTAGGTAACCAACCTGTCCATTTTTCCCAGTGGAGGTGGGAAAGCTGGCATGATGCATAAAATTCATATTCTTTGTTTCTCAGTCAACATTCAATGATAATTTCTAAAGCCTTTTGTGGCTTGTTATGTCTTCATAGGCAATTTAAGTCTAAAATAAATAGAAGCCCCTTTAAAACTTAATTCAAATCATTCAATAAATGTGTTTTTGAGCAGCCACTATGTACAAGACATTGTGATACCCTTTAAAAATGTGTTTTGGCAACCAACCCAACATAAAAACTCTATCTCAGTTAGGAAATGTCAAAACAAACAAGAAAACCCCTTTCTGTCATGCTTAGCAAAAAGTAAACTGTTTCCTAACTTTCTACATGATTAGAAGCATTTGATCTCTTCATAAATTGAAAGCTGCTAGACTGAAAGTCTGATGAGGGTAAAGAATATTATCTGTCTTGTTAATGGCTGTATACTCATAGACTAGAAAAATGCCTGTCACATGTCAGAGAATAGTCTTGAATGAATAAAGAAAAGAATGAATGATCTATTTGGAATTATAAGACCTTTCAAATACTGGTAACTTGAGTATTTTAGAAATCACCACTTCTATGTTCCCTTTTTCCTGCCTGGTAGAATTATAGTGGCCATTAGGATTATCTCCAACATGGTTACATAACATTTAGCTATTGAAGGGGGTTAGAGTGGAGAGAGAGAAGGCAGCCAGATGAAACTAACATTTAGTGATTTCCACCTCCGAGGTGTATTACACATATTTCTTGTGACCACCCTGTGAAATATGTATCATCCTCATTTTACAGATGTGACACCTGAGATCCTGAGAGATTAACTTTCTTCAATTAACACTGATAGTGAGGTCAGCCAAATTCAAGGACCTATTCTTGGGGAATAAGGCCTCTAAAGACATTAAGGTAAGACCCCAGAGGACCAGAGCAGAAATCTGGCCTGAAGACTACAGTGAGAAACTCAAGATATCACTGTTCCAAATAAGATAGGTGGGCTAGACCTGGTGTATCATGCCTGTAATTCCAGCTCTTTGGGATGCTGAGACAGGAGGACTGCTTAAGCCCAGGAGATAGAGGCTGCAGTGAGCTATGATTGCACCACTGCATTCCAGCCCTGGCGACAGAGTGAAAATTTGTCTCAAAACAAACAAAAAACAAATAAGACAGAAGGATATAGATAATGCAAGGTCTGTAGATACATAGTATTTATCCATACTACTGCAGTGGATACACAGCAACTGTGAGTACTTATCAAACGATTAGTTGAATGAAATAATAGATGGATAAATAAATAACCTATGAGACTTTTAAACTGCCAGGGAGCTAAAACATCACAGCACAATGCTTGACTCTCCATACCTCTTATGCAGTCAGAAAACAATTAGTGGGCATTTACCTGATTCACACTTTATCCTATAGTTACTATAGATTAATAATATCTTTTCACTCTCAGTGAATAGTCTATAAACAAGTATTTATAAGGTGATAATGTAAGTGCTGGTGGAGGTAAATGCAAAATGATATAAGAGCAGGATGTGGAATACATAAAATTATATTTGAACTGGGAGAGGAGTGGAGAACTTAGGGAGACCAGGTTGATTAGCTTGCATTTGTGTACCCTCTGAGAGGAAGATGGTGATTTCCCCTGAGAGGCAAGGAGGGAAGGGTTGGAGGCAGTGGGAACAGAATGTGCAAAATACCATGGCATATTTAGGAAATTACAAAACATACATTAAAATTTATTCTAGTCATACCTTTTTTTTTCTAGAAAAGCAAAATTAGGCTGGGTCTATAGGGCAAATATAAGCAGACTCTAATATGACATGATAATATTAGTACTCATAAGAGTTACTGTAAATCTACACAGCTGATTCAGTCACAGTTATTAATTGACATATAGAGAAACGGTTGGAATGATCTGTGCTTTAAGAGTAGAGTTATTGGCAGTGAAGAAGGAAGAGGTCAATTCTATTAGCCTGCTCTTTTTATTCAAACAAATAGAATATATTATCAAAAGACTTTCTCCTGAAATCAGTAACAGGACAACACTCAATTAAAGACCATCTATACCTAGGCTGACTGAGACCCTTCCCATTATACCAGAATTCCCAGTGGAGCATCCTGGGGCAGCATTCACTGTTGCAAATTCACTAGCAGGCCATTCCTTGATTCTATCTTCAGGAAACCCAATCCTGATAGAATTTGCAACATAGTTTATATTTCATTGATTATACTAGCAATCCCTAACTTTGAGCAGTCAAAATCTAACTGTCTATTTAACATTATTTGTTTGTATCCAAAATATACTTTTCTATGTGAAGAATATCACGTGGGATGATCAGGTTCAAGAACTGTCCATAAAGCATTTAAACCATTGTGCACACAGTTTGAAACCAGAACAGTTCAGGCAAATCATATTTCAGTTACACTTGTTACATCTAACAAGGTTTCAACAAGAATGTCTACCCGAGCCCAACTACTGAACACTGGGAGCCACTTTCTAAGTCAGTGATCTCTCTCTTGGCAAGAGTCCCTTCTCATAGTGCACCTTTAGTTTATGAACTCTCTTCCTTTCTATATCTGCTTAAAAATAGAAGTTTATTAGATCATCTCCTTGATACATATTTTATGTTAGGAGAAAACAGGACAGTAACTTTTCGTGGGTAGCAGGAAGTGGTTCTTCCTCCACAGTTTATCTATGTGGATTATTTGTAAACGAGGGAAAAGATACACTGTTGTGATATTAATATACAGGGTCACAATAATGTGTGTTCTCCCACTTCTAATTTTGGATTAATTTTCTCAGCATATCTGTTCAATTTATTCTTAAAGGCAGAAATGATAATGTAAATGACACTTGTATGATGATTTGAAATTTACAAAGCACTTTCACAACATTGTTCCATTTCATGCCAACAATAGCCCTTTGAGTTGGGTGTTTTATCTTTTGAGGGCAACTGAGATTGAGATTGTGAAGTGATGTTCCCAAGGATTCACCACTATTAAATGATGGAACTGTGATTCTAAGCCAGATTTCTGATCAGCAAGTCCAGTCTGTCTGTGACATCAGACTGCATAGCAAAATTTATTTTGTCAAAAGACTAAAGGTTGAACAATCAAATCAAGTTAGAGCATATGTACCAGTCTTTCTTTTAGGAAATAGAGAATCCTTCTCAGCATTAACTTGGGACATCTTTAAGTCCATCATTATAGAAACAATTGGATTTTCTGCCAAGATACATTAAGGCTGATTTGACAAGAATGACGAGGCACTTTAAGAGTTGATTGACTGTTAGTAGAAGGCTTTAGAGCTTGCTAAAATTCCATCAACTATAAGTGAAAGAAATGGAAGTATCTACCCGGAGTTTTAGAGAAAGCCTGTGATCTAAAGATCAGATGGTAGGATGGTCACATATCTCTACATTCGTCCAACAGCTCTCTTATTTACATAATATACAAGTTTATTTGGTTCTTCTGCAACGTTCTATGACCCTCACACTCAGAGATCCACTGAGGTCTAAACTGATCAATGAGAAAAAATCATTTGGTATTTATTGAGGGACTTTCAGAAGACCTATTTAGCTGAGACACTTGCTGAGATATGTTTGCAATTCCGTCTTAGAATTTCCAATCTGAGGTGAATTTGCCCTCCTGTCACCATACCTATAGGGTGTGGCAACACCTGAAAGCAATGAAGAACAAGATATTTGAAACTGACAAGATCTCTGCTGAAACCAAGATGAGTGACAGAATCTTTCATGATGAATCTATACTTCTTGTGGATTCCTAGTGACAATAATTATTTTAAAATTTTTGTGCCTTTAAAGAAAAAAGACTAGGCATATTTTTCTCTCCATCTCTTTTTCAAGGCATATATCAAACTAGAGTTCAGGTTAGTATAAGTAACAGATTTTTTCATTGTTTTCCAGTTAAAGGAAAACAGACAAATGAGCAAACATAATCTTTTATATATGGTTGTCTTTAATCTCATAAAATTCTGGCTTTTAAAATAATTTTTAAAAGAAGACTCTTAACTGTGGATTTTCCCTAATCTTTGCATTTAATTAATGACCATTTATATTAGGATCTTCTCTGCCCCTTTTAGGAATGAAATTCCAACATAAATATGCTATCATCTAATCCTCATATTACTGCAATAATGTACTTGGTCACTGACAGGCTTAGTGTTAGGAAAAAATAACCAAGAAATAATCAAGCCCAGGGTGAGAGAAAATAACCAAATAATTGGTCAACTGTCTAAATAGACTCTGACCTATAGATAAGCCCACCTTGGTTTCTAAGTCATGTCATCTAAGCATGTACCATCACATTTGGTAGTGTGAAAACAGATTTTTAAACTACTTTTGCTGAGATAATAGAAAATGAGGCTGGTGCTTAAGGTGTAGAAGACTAATTTTACATGAGTAAGCCCACATTAAATTAAGCACTTTTGCCAGCTGAAATCAGTGGTGATGTTCTAGAATTTCTAAATGTTTTCTCATATTTTAGAAGATAAATTTCACCAACCATCACCTGAGCAAGTCTAGAAACCAACAATTAATATTTGAAGTTCAATAGCATTAAAACATGTTTAAAGTTCTGATCTTTTACCTATTCAGAATTTCTCTCCTATAAGATGGTGTAATTAGAACACGTTTTCTCAAACCTATGCTATTGACATTTTGGAAGATAATTCTTTGTTGTAGGGGCTGCTGTGTGTATTGTAGGGTGCTCAGCAGCATACTAGCTTCTATCCTCCATGTCAGTTGCTCCTTCCCTTCAGTTATGACAGTGGAAAATACCTTCAGACATTTGCCAAGTTTTTCATGGTTGGTGGCAGGGGGAAGAGACGGGATACATATGTATGCAAAATTACCCTGGTTGAGAACCACTGAGGTAGAAGCATAGACTTCTGGGTTCCACACTTTTGTAGCATCTGTAGATATTAAAATTGAAGGTGTGTGAGCTTAATGCACATCCTAGATCATATAATTGTTTAGAAGCAGAGGTAGAAATCAACTTGAAAATATAGAAAAATACAAAAAATTATAATTGAACTTAATTTTATCATCTGGAAATTATACGGTTAATGCCTTTTTTCTCATATACACATATGTATATATTTGGGATTTTATAGTAAATATAGTTTTTCATGTCTTTGATTATTCACTTATATTCCAATTACATGGAGATTCCCTAATTTATGTAACTATTTTCAATTTTCTTCTTGTTGAATTTTATTTATAATTTTATTTGGCTATAATAGTATACTAGAACACTATGTAATACAATAATAAATTAATGATACTATTGATTCATATCTTTAGGTTTTTCCGATATATTATGTCCTACAAGTCAGATGCTAGATCAAAGATCATAAAGACCTTGTAGAACCCTTGAAACATTGCCTGTTGCCTTCTACCAAACAGTTTTGTAAAATATACATCATAAATGTATGACAGGGTTTTAATTTAGATGACAAGATATAATTGCTGAATAGGAGTCAATATTTTAAGAATTCAAGAATATCTTTATATGGATCCTTTCCTCTTTTTGGCACTGTAGATTTTTTTTTTAAAGTTAACAGCTTTTAATGAGTAGGCAAAAATCAAAATTAAAAGAATTTTCCATGGGCTACCAAAAATATTTTCCATTAAAAAAATCAGAATCATTAAAGACCCCAGCTATTGAGGAGGCTGAGGCAGGAGAATTGCTTGAACCCAGGAGGCAGAGGCTGTGGTAAGCCGAGATCGTGCCATTGCACTCCTGCCTGGGTGACAAGAGTGAAACTCCGTCTCAAAAAAAAAAAATAATCATTAAAGATATCTAATGTTCTTTCATATTTAACATTTTATATATCATCAAGCTCAACTTTGTCTCTGTTCAAAATTTGATCACTTATTAAG